AAAATCAGATTTCCTGTTTCAACTTCTCTGATATTTTGTGAGCATCTTGCCTCTGGCATTGACCACTTAGGTTCTGTAAGAATAGAATAGGACAAAGATTTCAGAGAATGTTCATAGGAAATGCATTCCCTGCTGTGTAAGTGGAAGACCGATGGTTTTCCAAGCAGCTCGCAGCCTTCGTGACAGCCCGCTGTCAATGTGTTAAATCTCTTAAGACCCAAACCATAGCCTTATTCAAACACTTGACTTTTCCCCTGGGAAGCTTGCACAGCCAAAAATGGATTGCTGACCATTCCTGAAGGAAGTGTCCTGTCTTGTTCATTAAGTAGATGATGCTAAAAAACCTTGAATCACCTATTAGTGAGCAGTTAAATACAGTGAGAGCAAATCCACTCCATGCACACTTGCATTCCTCATGCTCAGAGAAATACAACAACCTGAGGTACAAGACAGGAATAACTTCTGCCCAGAAGAAAGGCAGGCCAGGCCCTAATGACAGGGAGGTCGTTAGCAAAAGGCTGTCTGGGTATATTTTGAGAAAGAATTCTTTTGTTGTGGATAAATTGTCAGGATTAGTGTGAGTAGCTGTTAAATTCCTCAGTTATATTGGTGTAGAGAGAGAGCTCGATAGATCTGTGCTAGAATAGAGAATTTAGTTTGGTTCATGGTGTAAGGATAGGAATTGGATACAGTAGTTACAAGGGGAATATATCATTCTCTAAATCCTGATATAAAATGGTAGTTCCCTCTTTCTGTCAATACTCTTCAGATTATTGCTTCTTTGTCTCACTGAAAGTCCAATTTAGGAGTCACTGGGGTTTCTTAAAATTTACAGGTTTCACTCACTGGAATTTTAAGCCTACAAGTTTATAAGCAATTTTTCATATTTTGGTGAGCCAAAAGAGGATTAATGCATAATTTCATATCTTTTCAGAAATAGACAATATGGTTTCTTTTTTCTCTCCAAAACTTTTTAGACTTTTAAATAAGTCTAAAGCACTATGCAGTGCTGTAAATTTTAGACAATTTTTTTCAGCTTTATATGAAAGGACTGTGCCCATCTCTCTCTCTTGTCCTTTGTCTCCTTTATACAAAATATAATGTAGGCATATTTCTATGAATGAGTGGGGGTCAGTAAACTCAGCAATGGTCTGGTATGTTTTATACAAGAATCAGTGATTAATGCATCAAACCAGATAATTAGTGCAATGTCTCATAAAATCAGGCTTCAGTTTTATTAGATATCATTATCTATTAATGTAATAAATTTAAGAAGTTATTAAAATCATGGCAATTTAGATCTACAGATAAAAACCTAGACCTATGTGTGCTTGAATTAATTTCATTTCCATTACTTATTTTGAGATGGGTTATCTATATTCTATTACATCAGGTGCATCAGAAGTAACTCCATGAATGATAAGTGAATTAATGTTTGTTAGAAATTTCATGGCCTGTAATGAGTGTGGGTATGTGGGCATTGGAATGAAGTGAAAGTCCCATCGATGTAAATATTGTATTAAATATTCTAATACACTTGTCATGCAGTGAGAAATCACAGCTTCCAGAAACCTACACTATTGTTTCAAAGAGAAATATTAAAAATTCCAACCCAGGTATTCATTTATGGATCAATAAATAGCAGTCATATAGTTTTATGGCTATGTTTAATCTCACATATGTAAAATGTGCTGTGATATATGACCACTATTTATATGCATCCTAAGAACTCTTCTACAGGAATGCTCAGAGTCCTTCCCTTGGGAACTACACAGTTAAAAAGAAAATTAACATGAGATCTTGGGAGAACAAATACATCCAAAGATGAAAAAGTAATTTATAAATAGCAAGTCATAGAGAAATCCCACATACTGATCAAGTGGGACATTGGAATTTCTGTCAGCTCAGCCACTGGGGCCAGTTCAGTCTCACAGGCTGTTAAAAACCTCTTAAGAACTCTCCCCTACCTGCTGCTTCTGCCCTTTTTCCCTTGCTTGGAAAACATTAAATGTTCCTATCCTGCCTCAGAATCCTCTGCTTTCAGAAATGATCATTGCTGTTTTGGCAGAATAACTCTCGATGTGATGTTGGCTAAAGCTTGTTCTATTTAAGGGAAACAATAAGGAGAAATAAGGCATAACATGGTAATATCTCAGTCTGACCTCTGGGATCTGATAACTTTTCCATCAAATTACTAACTTAGCCCAAGTTGCTTGTGGCAAATTCCTTTTTCATAAGCTTATCTCTGTTCTCCTCTGTAATGAACCAGCTCCTGTTCCTGCAGTGGAGCTGGATTTACGTAAGGATGGCTCCAGTTTCCAGCTTTGGGAACATGCACTTGCTCTTGTCTGGCAGAGATGGATCTCTGGTGTGACTCAATACAGGAATTCTTGCTTTTCTGAGGTGTACAGATGATATGCTGACTTGGAGCTTCATGCTCTGGTTTTGACACATTTATGTAACAGTTTCAAGTTGAAAGGTGTGGTGGTTCTCTTTGCAGGGGAGGAGAGAGAAGCACCGGTGGATTCTGTGAATCATGACGGATGCAGAAGACCTGTAATGAAAGGTAAAAATCTCTAACTTCCAGGTCTGTGTTGCATTCCCTGGATATTTAAACTGTGGAAAATGTCCCCTTGCCATTTGAACTATGTGGATTAATATATAACTCTTGGTTTAGAAATTACATCATTCATATTATTAATTAACCCTAACATTGCTATTTCTGTATGGTATCTTAGTGCTCTCAGCACAAGTTTTCCTCCTCCTGACCTATTGAAGAATCTGTATAGATTCAAAAAGACAAAATGCTGAAGAATGTGAGACATTAAAACTGAGCAGTTGTTTTTCAATTTGTCTCTATTAAAATATGCATACTTTTAATTGTAATAAATGCTGACCTATAAAGAAGACAAGAAACATTTCCAATTTCAAACAAACAAACAAACAAAAATAAGTAACTCCCCTCTCCTGGCATCTACTAAATTTCAAGTTTGATGGATTATCCTTCAGATTCCAGATATGTTAAATCCTTCAGTCTAATATTCAGAATATATATTGACAGTGCTACTATCATATAAATTGGGAAAGATGACTTTGTGTTTTAAGCAAAAGGTGAGATATGAGACTGATTAATTTATTTAGAAAAAAAAAAATAATAGAAGTTGTTGAACTAAAATAATTTTTTTCCTGTATTTGTTCTGGTGACAATGATCTGAATTCTATCCATGCTTCTTTTTTTTCAATAATAGTAATTGGGTTTCTTCCTCTGCCTCTTTACTTAAAAAAAAAATAAAAAAATATTTTTTTAGAAGTGTCTGTCATGATCTCTTAACTTTTTCCTGTTGTGGTGGTATTGGTTTAGTTTTTGGGTTTTTTTTTTTAATAGACCAAAATATTTAACTGTGTGAAAAAACTATTTTTACCACTTTTAAGGGAGAGGAAACATTCCTTTGTTACCTCTCCAATACTTTGTCTCATCATCCATTGAGGAAGGTTATGAATATATAAGTCATTGGTTGCTGTGAAACTAAATCATTTGTCTGGAAGGTTTAAAGATCCTTGGATTTTAAGCCCTATGGACATGTAATTAAGAACATACGGAAGAGCATAAGCACCTGAGCTATGGCTCATGCCCAATTTTGATGAATCATGTAAGTGTAAGAGGAAGAGAATTGCTGGAATAACACTAAATTAACTCTGACTCTTCTGGAGAGAGCATCACAGAGTCTGGAGTTTCTCTCCCTTATGCCTCAAGAAAGGCACAATTGGTCAGAGAATCACAGAACTGTAGAATCCCAGACTGCTTTGGGTTGGAAGGGACCGTAAAGCCCATCTTGTTCACCCCCTGCCATGGGCAGAGACACCTCTCACTATCCCAGGTTGCTCCAAGCCCTGCCCAATACAGTCCAGAACAATTCCAGGAACGTGGCAGCCACAGCTTCTCTGGATAACCCTCACCACCCTCTCAGAGAGGAATTTCTTCCCAAAATCCCATCTAAATCTACCCTCTTTCACCTTAAAGCTATTCCCCTTTTTCCTATCAAAAACCCAGATCTGGGTTCTTTGCTTCAGTGGAGGGCTGGTCTTTTGTGCCATGGATTGTGAACGCAGATCCCAGAATGGTTTTGAAGCCAGATTTTCCACAATGGGTGAATATGCTAACAGGTGACTGGGATAAATCCCATAACACTGTCAAACTTGACAGAGACTGTACATTTTGTGCAAAACCACGTAAGCCCCACCACTGTCAAATGAAAGAGGGAATTTTATGCTCTCTGTTCCTCTCTGATATATGTTTGGCTGTCATCTTATTTCATAGTTGAGGCAATTGAAACACTGTTTAAATGTGTATCATAAACCTATAGATGAGAACATTTCCCTGCTGGATTTAAACCATTACCCCCAAAGGTGCTAAAGAAACCACGCTGTGTGTCACTTTTTAAGATCAAGGGGCATTTTTGATGTTAATGCCTAGAAAAGGCAGATGAACACTAACAGCTGCTTATGCACAGGCTGGTGAATTGAATAGGGAAATACTTCTGTTCTGGAAGTCAGATCTCCAGAGAAAAATGATAAATTGTGAGCATCCTTAAGTAAGAGTGATAGTCTCTAAGGATAGTTGAGCAAGGCTGATAATATAAAATATGTAAAATGGGGAAAATATTTAATACTTCTGTTTCTCTGCTCTAAGGAGTTGGAAGGGTTGTGTTAACAATATATACGGTGCTGCTGTGCTCAGGCATGCAGGAGAAATGCAATATATTAGTTCTCAAATCAGTAGTTTGTGAAATGTGTTTCTGGTATCCAGGGATTTTCAGGACTGTTACACTGATAAGGAGTCAAGGGCAGTCTCCTCATGGGCTGGGATGGCTCTCTTGGGAGAAGAAGGGAACAGAAGAATAAGAGCAGCAGATTACAAGCTGGACATTTTAGTGTTTCTTTACTTCCAAATGTTGATTGTTTTTTTTTTAACTCTTCATTTTGCAGATATTTAAAGCTCTGAAGCAGCTTCAGTTCTGACCTAGAGCTGATGAATCTTTAAAAAGGCCTTCTGTAGGACATTGTGATATACAAGAACCTTACACCAATATTCCCATAGAAATTATATGTATATGTGATTCCTGTTGAGAGACAGAAGGAGAAAGGAGAGAAACTTTCCCTGTAGACACCAATAATGATGTTCCGGTATGAAAGTCACCCACGGGCAAAATGTGTAGGAGGCCAGCAAAAATGGGGAGGAATATCTAAGATTCCAAATCTTCTCCACTGGTTGATCACCTAATAGAATAACCTTGAAATTTTGCTGGCTTTTTTATGCAAGGAACTCAAAGTAAAAGCCTGGAGGAAGGGAAGGTACAGTAGCACCAAAGGATTTAAAATGCAACCTCATTCAGGTTGTACCACCAGGGCTCAGATCCTGCAGAATTAGACCAATTGGAAGGAACTAAATATTCCCTTTTTTTTCTGAAGTCTCTAGGAAGGAGGGAGACAGCAAATATTCCAGGTGTGTCCTTCCAGGGGACTCTCAGGTAAGAGGAGTTCCTTTGAAAGCAGAGGTGCAGTTTATTTTTTCCTGCACCAAGTTTAATGAAAGAAATCTGAGAAGCCATAGCCAACACCGATGACAAAAAAAGTCTTGTTTATTGTTACCCTTTAACTGGACAGCTTGTTAAACTGAAAATTCCAGTGGAACTGTAAAAAATAAAAATTAAAAAGAAATATTTCTTGCTTAGAACTCTATCTGTCAGGTTCCTAGACCCTGCATTTGGGCCAGGAAAGCCTCTGGTTCAAACTCTGCAGCTTTTTTCTCTGTTTTAGGTGATGCATCCAAAGTTTTTCATGTTTTTTTGGTTGCCTTATAGAACATAGTTATTTTCTACACTTATATTGTGTGAAACACATAACTTCAGTCTGCCAGCCTCAAGGAATTGCAGCCTCACCGTAACACTTTTTTTATAGCTTGAGAGAATTTTTTACACCTGAAAATTGGGATTAAGATTGTAAATTCTTTTAAAAGAGAGTTGATACTCAGTTACATGTGGCTTTGTGATTGATGACTGTATCCTGCTCAGCTAATCTCAGTTTGCCAGTAAACCCTTTATGACTATGAGAATTTTAGGTTCTTTGATTTCTATGATAGATTCCTTAAAGCTGCTCAGGCTTTGCTGGATAATTGCTTCATCTCTGTGGTGTCACTTTAAACCCATGGAAATGTGGCATCTTCTTTAAAACAGTTACTGTAGTTTTTGATGTGTTTGTAATCTACAGCATTAAACAAAGCAAAAGCAGGAACAGGAACAAATGATACCTAACCCCTTGCTTGGCTCTGTAGGGCAGTTTCAGAGTGTGCTGGCTGATACCCTGTTTGCTGAAGAAATCAAGGACAGAAAGACAAAGCTGTAATGAGACTTGGTGAGTTTTGATTTGAATTTTTAGGATGTTTTTGTCCTTTCAGGCTAGGAACCATGTGTAGAAGATCTATGATTTCAAAATTGAAGTGAAGCCACAAAGCCTCCTGCTAGCAGAGTTAGTTTCTCTGTGCTTAAAATGGTTCCTCTGTTGCATGCACAAATCAGCTTCCTCTGTGAAAGCAGCAGAAAGCTCAACTCAAAAGTGACTTGTATTGGTTTTGATGGAAGAATTACAGCTCTATTTCACAGTTTTCCCCCAAAGTTTCACTGATTTTCCCCTGGTCAGAAACTGCAGAACCTCACCTGTGCAGTTGTCGCATGGAGAGATTTTTGGCTGCTCAAAGCAGGAGTTTTTCCTGAACCTTGTCACATGTAGCTCCAAGTTTGTTCAGCACTGAATTTTGGTAAAGTTGCACAAGAATAAAAGTAGCACATCATGGTATAGTCCTCACTGGAAAAAAATTGGTAGGGACAAAGCAAGTCCTTCTGTTGCTCAACAGGAGACAGAAATTCCTGCCTTCCTTAATCTTGGAGGTCTTGGGATAGAGAACTGGAATTGCTGCTAGAATCCCTTTCAGAATAATCCTTATGGATAAACTTAGACCCTCACCAGTCCAGGAACAGTTACAAACATGCGAAATTAGAGAAAACACAGGGGAGGATTGGTGCAGAGCAGCCCACCATGTTTTGCTGCCTGGAATGTATTCTGCACCCTTAAAATTTTTGCAGGCTTCAGATTTTCAGTTTGGTAAGAACACTTTGTGTTATTGTAGCAAAACTTTGAGCCATGTGTTTTCTCTATTTTCTTTACATTTCTTTTCACTGTATCACCTCACTTCCTCTATTGTGCTCTTTGACGCTGCTCTATCCTTTAACAGTTTTTCCACTGTTCTTTTGTACTTATTTTCCATTTGTTGTGTTTTGCTTTATACTCTACCAAATACTTTTTCCTTTCTTATTATCTCCCTCCACTACTGTCATCATGCTTTCCCCCTACACACATTCCTAAATTATCTCTCATAGGTCACTTATGCTTATTTTTCTAGTGTTTCTGATTTTATTTCTGTTATTTTCTCTCAGGAAATAAACACATGCCCATGCCCATATATACACACTTGTTTTTTTCTAGTCACCCTCAAAGAAAAACTGAACCTTGCAAAAATCATGAGGGAGCAGAAGGTATTAAAGGCAGCAAAACCTGTGGGTGACTGCTCAAATTCCCCATTATTGTTCCTGTAATTTGATGAGTTTGCACTCGTAGCTGGTCTGGTGACCTTTGTGTCACCCTTGCACACTGGCATCCTTGTTACACTCATTCTTTCTTTGAGGGTTCTTGTCTCTGTGCTTCACACATCCAGAACCTGACTGCAGTGAGGTTTCACCTTTGCACATCTGCCCAGTGTAAATGTAGAAGCTCAGGAGTGACCAGGAGTCAAGCTGTAGCTGTTCTTGTACAAGAACCAGCACACCACGCAAGGGGTTTGGGCTCAGGAGCCCTGAGCAGGGTGGCAGCAGCACTCAAGGATGTTTCTAGAGGTGATGGTGACTCCTGATCCTGCAGGACCCAGAGAACAGCAAAGGCAGGGACTGAGTGACTTTGCTCTGGTGGGTTTGGCTGTAGAGAGGCTCCTGGTTTCAGCTTACAGGTAAATGTCCTCTGTGAGACCCACCAGGGACTGGCTTTTCATGCTGGCCTTAAGCCTGGAGTCCAGCATTGAAGCAATACAAGATCCTGCAGCTTCTTTGTGTCAGAAAAGACTCCCTTTGGAAAACATTGTTTAAAGCATCCTTCAACTGTAAAATAATCTGATGCATAAAGCAAACTTTGTTGACTACTTTTTTAGCAAAAAAATCTTACAATAAAATCAATGCTTTGAGGAAAATCCTTTGAAACCTTGGGAAAACCCAGAACTCCTTTTACCTGGAACTGTTGTTTTTGAAACCCTGTTTTCTTCAGTTCCTTCACTCTTTTTTCTCTCCCACCTGCTTTCTACCAGCAAATGCCCTGAGACACCAGGGCTGCTGCCCTGTGCTGCAACAGGCACAGCACCAGCCAGGCTGGCGTTAAGCACATCCCCTTATACCTGAGGAAAACATGGCCTGGAAGTGAGCTGGAAGCGAGGCAGTGGAGACAGGCAACTTTTTGTGCCTGAGCCAGGTGTTTGTGCTGCCTCCACCTCTGCCCACCATTCTTCCTGGGGAAGGGGCAAGGGTGCCTCCTCATTTGCGTGCCTGCTGCAACAGGGCTCTGCTGTCACCTGCCTGCAGAGTCATTTGCAAACAGGCCCTATCGCTGGGGAGCAGAAATGTGTTTTTTTCAACCCGAAGCAGATTTATAGTCTGGTTTCCTGTCAGATCTTTGCATTTTCCTTCTCCGCCCCTCCCAGTCTCTGACACACTTTTTCTTAGTTTCTGTGTGGCTCTTTGCTCGTTCTGCCACCAGTGCCCCAGCCTCTTTCATTCCTGATTCTCCCGAAACTTCTGTACTTTGGGGGCCAGGGGGTGTTTCACTCCTTGAGTTTCCTTTACTTATCAACAGCTGCAGAGCACAAATAACCTCTCCAAGACTCTGGAGGGACACTGACAATTGCATGGAGACAACGTAGAGAGTGCAGCCTGCAGCAGCTGCAGCGAGGCAGCCGGTCACTCATGAGCACCCAAGGTAAGGAAAGGAGCTGGCAGAGCAGCTCCACCTCCCTGCTGCCTACCACAGCACTTGGCTATGAACACTGAAAGTTCCACTTTCACCTTTTTTTTGCATTGATATTCAAAAGTTTCTTTGAAAATGGTTGCGTTCGTGCTTTCCTTGCTCTCAACAGGTCTGGTACTTTGCATGCGCCGATCATTGGAGCCCAAGGTTCAGGGAGGCAAAGAATCTGTAGCTGGAGGTGCAAATGTGCACTGGGAAAGAGAGTTAATATGGAGGTCTAGAGAGGGGAGATGAAGGACTGATCATCAGCACTGGTCTCCAGGGAATTTCTTGTTCTGCCCATATTGTGCTCTAGCCCTCTCTGTAAATCTCTTCACTGAGATTTATGCTTTCTGTTAACAAGTAAAATCTTTCTTATTTGGTTTTCTTCCTCTTTTTATTTGTTCTTCTCACTTCCTTTTTTCTATTCTCAACCCTCTCTATTTCTTATTATCTTTTTCACCATCTTGTTATGCCTTTTTATGCCATCAAGAGTATTTTCTGTGTGACAAATATTTCCCTTCTTCATTCCTTTCCTTTCCCTCTGCCTCTATTGTGCCTGTGCACTAGACTGCATATCCTCTCTCAAGTTTTTAAACTCTCCCTCCTTCCCCTCTGTCAGTTCCTTCTTGCTCTTGTGTTCCCCTTTCCCGTTGTTCCTCCAGCTTCACACTTCACACTCCTGCCTCCTGGTCCATCCCCTCTCTCCTGTGTCTGCTGCCCTGGCAGGATCCTTTTCTGAGAGATGTTGCCTCTCCACTGGGCTGTCCTTGCACATACATCTCTCCTGTCATTCCTTTCCATGGCCATGTGCAGCATTTGTATATTTACAGTTTTGGGGATGCATCTCAAAATAGGAGACTTTTACACTTGCATTTGCTTCCTTGCAATGCCCAGACTCGTATTTAGTCATTCACAACAAATAATCACTGTCATCCCTTCCCTGTTTCTTTGTCTCACAAACAGCATTTTCTAACACCTGTAACCCCCTTTGTCTTCCTCTCCACTCTCAGATAGAACCTGCCCTGACTTTGTGTATTTAATCCCTTCTCTTTCTGCCATCCCACTCCTTCCTACCTCCTTACCATAACTCTCCACCAGGTTTCTCTATCTGTTCTTATCTTTATATTGCATTCAAATTGGGAGGAACTGCTGATGCAGCTGGGCTTGCACTGCTGCCTTACAATCCCTGCTGCCAGCCTGCAGGGGAAACAGAGGAAGTATTGCAGTTTCTCAGCTCCTCTTTCCTCTGCAGAATATGCAACCTGAGCAGAGAAAGAGCTTAGTGATGGGACTGAAGGTAGATGAAAAAACTGGAGAGCACAGTTCAAAATGCCTTTGGAAAATTGTAAAAAATACTTCTAATTGTTCAGAAATCTTTTTATTAAACTTAATAAACTACTGGAATTCCTGCCCCACAGCAGAATTTCTGATCTGACATGGGCATAGTTTTTGTCCTTTTGATTCCTATGGGATTCCAAGTCCCAGAGGTAGGAGTTCTCAACTCCAATGCTGTAGTGGCAGTAACTTTGCTCCTAGGATCTGGAAACAGCTCATGTCTTTTATACCAGACATATTGGTGAGTCACCAAGATCAGACATGGCTAAAAACTGCATCCAAGGACAATATCTGGTATTATTCCATGCTCAAATTTGTATGCTTTGAATCAGATATGACAAATAACTGCATTTCTTTGATGAAGCTTTTTAGCCTCACCTTCTTAAGCTGGACTATTGAGACTGAAGATTTATTTCTATGGATGTTCTGGTGTGGTCTTTTGGGAACTGAATAAGGTTCACTTATTAAACTCAGCTGAATTAATAAGAGAATTATTATGTGGGAGAATTCTCTTAGCAATCTGTCTGGCTCTCTCAAATTGTCCATCTCCTTATGAGTGAAAGGAGCTTAAATTTTTATGTTTGCAATTATAAGATATCCTTTCTGATTCAGAGCTAGAAAACTGTGGCCTTTGAGCTATGAGCATTCTCTTCTGAATACAGAAACAGGTACATTAAAATATCCTTGCCTTTTGGAACTTGCAAAAAGTCCACAAGCCTAGAACAATAAAAGAAGAGATGTTAATTTTATACATTCAGGTCTAATATGACTCTTTCTTACTCTGCTGCAACTCATCTTGTGATGGGAACAGCATTTGTATTCCTTTGAGTCATTCTACAAAACTTTTGGATTTTGTGCCTTGTTTTATCAGTATTTTCCCCCCTATTACTGATTCTCTTTGTAAAGGTTCCCATAAATAAACTGGCTGAGACAATGTCTCTCTCTCTCTCTCTCCCCCTCCCTCCTTTTTCTTTTGCATCACATAGTTTGCTTGTGTTGAGTTAATAATGGACATTGTCAAAGGTGTGTTGTGACATTTGCAAGGGGACCTGGAGGCAGAAATTTTATTTTTTTATGTGTCCAGTTTCTTGAATCAAGAGGAGAAATATCAGCAGGAAAGAGCCTGGAAACTTTCTGTCCTCTGCAGCAAATTGCTGTGTCAAAAGAGCCAACCCCAGAAAAGAAATTCAGAATCACGTGTTTGACTCCATGTTTTTATGCAAATAGTTACTTCCAATTAGATTTAACTCTTAATTAAGAGTTAAATAAACTTTAATAATAAACTTTCTTAATGAACTTTCAGTGTAGGGGAAAAGAAATAACCATCTGATTGCATGTATCTGCTACAATTTAAGAAAATTTGGACCTTCTCTAGAAAGATGAATCCCAAATAACTGGGATATGCTGAAGATACCAGAATGCCATCTACCAAATGACCTTGGTTTCTAAACAGTTGCATGGTGAAGGTTTTCAGCAAGTAGATATATGGGATGATTGCTCACAAAGGATGAAATTTATAGAGATCCTTAGCTACCCACTTGTTAGCAGATGGCTCAACTCTCTCTTTGATATTGAAATACATCTTTCATGAAATACAAATCTTTCACTTAGATATGGTCATTAAGTTGTGTAACTGATGGTGGAGTTTGACCTATGGCAGCTTTCTTTGGCAGTAGCCTCCACAGCAATCTAAACTTAAAAAGAAATATGGAAGTATGCCATGTGATTATCAAACTGAAGAGTAAAACCATAAACCCCACTAAGTCTGGTCAAGTTTCACCACTGATATGAGAGAAAAATTCTTTGTCTCCTGTCTGTTTTGCCACTGCTGCTGTCTGTGGGATTTGCATTTGCAGAACACTGTCTGCTTTGCTGAGAATCCAGCATCTGCAGTGAACCTGCAATTCCTTTTTCAGAACAAATGATGGGGTTTTACAGGTCTACATGTAATAATATTCTCCATCCCTACCCTTCCCCCAAATTTTCTCTAAAGTGCTGCCTTCACCCTCTAGTCTGGGTCACTTATTTAATGGCAATGAACATTTTCAGGAAGGTAACCTTTCTGCTTGTGATTTGTTCAAGGACTCTGGAATTATAATGGTTGCTGTCAAATGTATATAATTGGTGTCTGTGGCACACATCCAATGAGTGATAAAAGCTTCGTTGTCTCTGCTGCTTTAGTCTCTATTCCCTCCCTATATCACCCTCTACTTCTGCTCCTCTCAGGCAGGAGGAGAATGCAGTGCCAGGCTGTTTAAAGTGCAGTTAGACTAAACAGCAGCTCTGCCAGATTCCCTGTCACGGAGTATCCAGCTCTGGACAGTGGATTCCCTTGGCTGAGTTTTGCACAATGACTTGAGTTAAGCACAAAGGTCTCCTCTGGACTTTGATTTCAAACACCTCCCTTCTCCACCTCCACCTTCTGCCAAATATTTGGGCTCTAGGAAGGGGGATGGTTTGTAAGTACCATGAACTCACAATCTTAATGCTCTACATGTAACATTTTACCAGTGGATAAGAGCTTTGTGCTTTCATATATAAAAAGCAAATATACATTTCTAATAGCATCCAAAACTGGCAACATGTTGTTCACTGTCTGCTCCCAGTGCTGAGCATGTAGTGTGGAGACTATTCCTGTTATGTTAGTCCTGCAAAACCTATTTTATCTTCAGGGCTGGATTGGGCATTACTTTCAAATGCTGTCTACTTCAGTGAATCTGTTTAGCAGCTCAAAAGGAGAGAGAAATTTGTCAAATCCCACTGGAAATCTATCAGAAATGTCAAATGAAATGCTGTAACATTCTGGTTTTGTCAAAAGGATAAATGTATATACAGCTGTGTGTGTGATATTATTTGTAGTAATTGTTGCCTCAGTGAATTTCTCTGTGTGAAGTAACTTGGTGTTGTATTAAGGGATGTGTTTGTTCTGGTCCCTGAGGCCAGCTTGGCTTTACACACAGGTACTTGATATTTGCCCAAGTCAGCCCTGGTTTTTGGAGTTCAGGGGAGGAATCAGCTTCAGTGTAGCCAAAGAAAGGATTCCCACTGGCCCTCTGAGCACTGGGTGTTTGCTGGAAAATTTTCCTCAGGTTGTAATTGAGATGCTGAAGACCAAATGTAGCGTGAGGTTTCTGTTTAAAGGGAGATAAGGAATTTTTTCCCATCTGCATGCAGAAGAAGCTGTATGGTAGCAGTATATATATGGTTGTCATTAGCAGCTGAAGAATTGTTTCCACTTCATTTTTATAGCTCTAAATGTGTAGAAACATCTCCAATCTGGCTGTGCTCATATTTGAGATCAGTCTGAATGTACTTAATAGGTTGTTACATACATTTAATATATTTGAGCACAAAAATAAGTTCCTCCAAGATTTTAAACACTAGTGAAGTCAGTTATCAAATATTTCCCTCAGGAATTCTGAATCCTGATGAAACTGGGAAAATACCCAAAGGGTATTTCAAGTCTTTTTACACCAAGTACATTTCCAAACTACAATGAAAATGGTGTTTGAAACTCTTCTCTTTGATCATGAACTGAAAAATTATCACATCTGTAAGATCATTTGAAGGCTTTTGGCTTTTAACAACTCAATTCAAATACCAGTGACCTACACTACTCGCTGTCCAAACTGGTC